TGAGTATGATATGAAGAATTATTGGTTGAGGCTAAGCATGATATGAAGAATTATTCGTTGAGGCTAAGCATGATATGAAGAATTATTTGGTTGAAGCTGAGTATGATATGAAGAATTATTGGTTGACAGTGAGTATGATATGAAAAATTATTGGTTGAGGTTATGAATGATAAACAAATCATACCTCTTTGATTTCAAGTTCTTCTCAATATTTGATTTCTCTCCTTCAAGAACTTGAAGCAAAACACTTTCTCTGATTCCTCTGGCTGTAAACCCTTCCATCAAGGCTTTGATGTCTTCTAATTCATCATAGTAATACCAAGTATATGGCACATCTCTTAGACTGTGGAAGATGATCAGATGATTTATGAAAAATAAACAGGATAAAAAATAACAGACAGGCAGGTGGACGGACAGACATAAAGGCTACAGCTTAGACAGACAGACCAATATACAAGCAGAAAGACAGACCATCAAAATGCTAAATCACATTATACATTATAAATACAAATAGACAGATGGCTGGACAGACGGACAGACATAAAGGCAGACCAGACAGACAGACAAACATACAGGCTAAAGCACAGTTAAAGAAATAATTATACCATATATGAGCACCAACCTTTTATCCACTGAATCATCAGTTTTGGTGTCTTGTCTGTTGTCTTCAATTTCTTTGAGGATAACGACATCTTCACTGCCATTTTCTTCTTTTTCTTTAGTAACCACCTCTACATCTCTCATACTTTCATCTATTGTAATAACTTCACTTCCACCATCATCTTGAACCTTGTTTGCTGCACTGTCTTCATCTACGGAGATAGCTTCCTTTCCTGTGTCATCATTATCATCATCTTCTTCATCTGGCGAAGGTGTCTCTGGTCTCCATGATGTAAAYGACATCCAGCCATCTTCTACAAAGAGTCCACTTATACCATTGAAGAGCCAATAGCGACGGTGGTAGCGATCATATCCCAATGGTACCATGCGYAGGGAAGCTTTAAACTTTGTTATACTATCCTAATAATAAATTGATATTATGTTAACTCTAACTCTTGAATAATGATCAATACAGTGAAATGGAAATACAATCCAAGCAATTGAAGTTCCAAGGGATATCATTGAACTACAAAGCCATCTTGTGCTGGAAAGCTTTCATGCTGTCAGATACATTATTTCACTTAGTGGGGCATTAATCACATCAGCTAAATCACAACTATAAGCCATCAATTCCTTACCTCATGTTCCTGTCTGACTTGCTCTCTACGGAATTCCTCCTCTTCTTTTAAACGTCTAAAAAAAGATGGGTGAGAAAAAGTGGGAAAACATGAACTCTTTGCAAATTGCAAATGAAAGAAAATGCAATGAAAATGAAAAATGAAAATGAAAACTTTAACATTAATCTTCTAACACTACTTCAACAAATCAAAGAAAACACAAGAAAAAGTTACATTCTTACTTGCTTACTTACAACATAATTACAGGGTGATTCTCTGTTTTGAGATAGGGCAACCACAAAAACATAAACAAAATTTAAAAGAATAAACCTTACCTCTCTCTTTGTTCTTTTTCTTTTTTCTCCATTTCTTGCTTTTTCAATTCTACTTGCAATCTTCTGTTCTTGATTGTCTTGGCT